GACGCGCGGGAAGCGGCGCAGCTGCCGTGGGGGCGGGGCGGGCGGCGCGGAGGTGTCCCCGCTCCTGCTGGGGGGATCGGCTGTGGGTCCCCTCGCCCTGCAGCCCACCCTGCTGCTCCGGCCCAGATCCAGACCCCCAGGAGACAGAGGACGGAGCCCGAAGGGCTCCTGGGCCAGCTCTGTCTGTAGTTTTTAAAGGGACGTACACTTGACTTAGGGCAAGTGCACCCATCTACAGTGTGTATAGGTCGATGACTTTTGACGAATGCATGTGCCCCTGTAACCAGTGCCCATCAAGACAGGTACAGAACATTTCCTTCACCCCAGACAGGTCCATGGTGCCCCTCGGCAGTTGATCTATCTCCAAAAGCAACCACTGTTCTGGTTTCTTTCCTTATAGATTAGTTTTTGTTTTGTTTTTTCAATTAAAAATATTTTAGGGCTGGTCGGTTAGCTCAGTTGGTTAGAGCACGACGGTGTTATAACATCAAGGTCAAGAGTTTGGATCCCTGCACAGGCCAGCCACCAAAAAATAAACAAACACTTTTAAACGTGGCAAAATACACATAGAATTTACCATCTTAACTGTACACACAGGTGTCCAGTTTGGTAGTGTTAAGCACTTTCACAGCGTTGTGCATCCAGTCTCCAGAACTGTTTTCATCCTGCAAAGCAAACTCTACCCCCTCCCCATAGATTCGTTTCACCTGTTCTGGAATTTCATGCGAACAGAATCACACAGTGTGTACTCTTTCTCTGTGGCTTCGTTCACTCAGCAACCGATTTTTGAAGTTCATCCATGCTGTTGCATGTACCAGCAGTTTCTTGCTTTTTATCGCCAAATGGTGATTCCTTGTATGAATGCACTGCAGTTTTCCAGGTTCGAGCTATTCTGTTCTCTAGTTTTGAGCTATCAGGAATAGAGCTGCTATGAACATACGTACCTCACTGTAAGTGTGTGGCATCTAGTACTTGTAATGGGAAATGCCGAAGCAAGCCTAGGGGAAGTTATAACTCAAAGAAATGTATTCAGGAGACCTGTGTGGGCACAGGGAACGGCATGCTGGGGACAGGTCTCTCCCAGGCAGCTTGGGTTTTTTTTTTTTTTTTTTTTTTTTTTTCGTGTCCGGCAACGGATCGCAACCCTCAGTGTTGCGCCCATACCGGACCGGGACCGGCAACGGGATCGCAACCCTCGGTGTTGCACCCGCACCTCGCTCAGCCAGTGAGCGAGAACCGGTCTGTATGTGGGATCCGAACCCTCGGCGGGAGCGCCACCACGCTCCCAAGTGGCGCACTGTAGCAGTGCGCCACCGGGCCGGCCTGCAGCTTGGGTTTGGAGAAGAGATTTGCTGGGGATAGGAAGCCCTGACCCACATCCCTGCTCACCTACTTCTTGGGGTGTGGCCTTGGGTGAGGGTTGTGCCAGAGCTCCAGGTCCTGCCCCACATTGAGGCATTAGAGGGACATTAGACTGTGGGACATTAGACAGGGGTCCCTACAAGACTGGCACCTCTAACACTGTGACATCTTCTGAGAGGTCGTAACCCTTATGTCCACAGTCCAGTCTCCTTAGATAAAAGAACCACTACCCTCAAGTTCTGCCACGAAGGGTGTCAAATCCCAACCCTCTTTTTTTTTATTAAAAATGAAATATGTTGAAGTATAATTTACATACAACAAAATGTGCAGATCTTAAGTGCAATAAACACTGCAATCAAATTATACAAATCTATACAAACCTGGTCATTATTCAAACTCAACCTCTCCATGTTTCAAACCATGGATTACTGCAGAACCATTTGAGGAAGATAAGCCCGATCGATGTCTTCAGTACCCTGGAGACCCCTTGCTGGAAGGTCCAGATGGCACCACATCCATACAGAAACAAGGGCAACACATGGAGAACTTCGCAAAGAAACTGTTGAGAAAGGAGAGGGCAGCGTTTGGGGAAACCATAGGATAATGCAGTAGCTCAGGGTGATGTGCTGTCAACAGAGGGGTGACAGACTGTGGCACTGGACCTGGGAAGGGTAGCATGTGTAGGAAGTGACCGCCCAGCAGGAGCTTGGCCTTTGTGGCAATAAACAAAGGCCACCCAAATGAGAACAAGCATTGGCTATTTATTCAGAGCTTGCTGTAGCAAGGGAGTCGGCCCCCATCACTGGCATTTGGCAGAGACTCAAAGAAAGGCAACGGAGAGGCAAAACTTCATGGTGGAAAAAGGGAAGGTGGCAGGTGTGTCCTGGCTGGTGGCGGGCTGCTATGGTTTGCGTGTTTGTCCCCTCTCAAACTCACGTTGAAATGTAACTGCTATTTTAACAGTATTAAGAGGTGGAACTTCTAAGAGGTGATTAGGCCATAAGGGCTCTGCCCCCATGGGTGGGACTAATGCCCTTCTAAAAGGGCAAGTTCGGCCCCCTTTTGTCTTGCTTTGCTATTCCACCTTCCGCCAGGTGAAAGCCAAGCGAGGACATGGCATTCAAGGCACCGTCTTGGAATCAGAACCGCCAAACCTGCCGGCGCCTTGATCTTGACCTTCCAGCCTCCAGAACTATAAGAAAATTAATTTCTGTTCATTATAAACTACCCAGTCTGTGGTCTGTTCCA